CCACCGCCCTTTAATTTTATTTACCCAGCCTTTTATAGTTTGCTAAATGTTCACTAGCGACCATCGCCAATTCGTTAATTTAAGAATTTATTTCCGGACAATGAAAAACAATGTGTACCATCGGGCAAAGAAACCAAATTTGTGTATACAAGGCCTACTTAAGAATAAATTCACTAATTGCAAATCGTATGTCTTATATCGTGACTCAGAGAATGTCAGATTTAGAAATGAGCATAGAATAATAAACCGTTTTACTTCGGCTGCTATGTTAGAATTGGCGGCATGCTTGTCGAAGATGCGCTTACGAGGTACAAATCATGCTCTGTTAATAGTTGAGATGCTCATTTGCCACCGTTCTGTCGTAAACACTGGATCACGATTCGGGACGATCACCCTCGGCCATTTTGTCGAGCACTTGATATTCTCAATTTGTTGATAGAGGGCACAAGTTTTTAATAAATAGGTAGACCGCATCAAATACGGGACGTGTATCGTACCAATACAGCTTTAAATGGTATATTCTTAAATGTTTACATAAATATAACACCATAGACGTGACTGTGCTAGTTCGGATCCAGTGTCCGATACGAGTAAGTTTGTGCTGGTAGACGTGTTTAGTGGTAATGTCGCCATCACTTTGACACTGATCGCATTCATAATATCAGAGTATGAATATTGTTGACTTTAAATGAGTTTGAAGTCAATCACACCAGGCACTCAAACACAAAGTTTGTGAATAAACAAGTCACTTCGCGATGAGCGTCTTTTGCGGTCAGTAATATTTACGAAAATTTTTGTTCACTATTGACGATCCGCTCCGCTAGGATTGCCCTTAAAATCAATTTTGTATGTGTGATTTCCAGTGTTTTCACGTATTAATTCCTCTGTGATTGTTTTGGCTTGGCCGATTTCCCTCAAACTTGGCAAGCAGGTCACACCGTTGCAATAGTAACAGCCAAAAAACTGGACAGCTTCGTGCCAAATATATCTCCTACAAATTTAGGATAAATCAATTTTCTGTGTCTGTATGTGTGATTTCCAGTGTTTTCACGTATTAATTCTTCTGTGAACGTGTCCATGGAGGCTGCAAATTAATAAATATTGTATTCACTGACATTTATTTTGTATTTACATTTGCAATGAGTTTCCACAATATCTTTTTCTTACTGGTGTGGCTTTTGTTTTGTCGATTGTTGTCAGTTGTTTGTTTTTGTGTTCTTGGAATTTTGTAAAAAAAAATCAACAACGGTTAAATAGGTATGTTATTTCCATTTTGCAGTATATCGTAGAAAGTACTTGTATACTTTGTTATCCAGCATAAATATCAGATTGTTCGGAAGAATGATATTGTAAATTTCGTTCATTAATGTTGTAAGATGACGCTTTCTCCGGGCCTTCAGAGTCCCATGTTGACTATGTCTCGGTCCCTTTACTCACTTGTTGCCAGTGTCTGCGTGGTATATACAAAATACGACCAAGTAAACGTCAGAATATATAAAAACAGAAACCTAAAAATCAGTTGCTCATGCCAAGAGAGCCGCAAAACCAAAACAATCTGTTGCCGTCCACAGCAGCGATATGATTTTACACATCGAAATTGAGAATCGCATGTGTAAACATATTGTTAGAAATAGACACTAAATACATCTATCCCGGCCAGCAATCGAGTCATCAATCTTCATGGGTGACGTAACTGTCATTTCCATCTATTTGCTTCTATTCCCACTATCCTAAAACTCTCAAGTGAATGTTGTCAAATTCGCGAGTGTGCGTATTTTCGTACAGTGGCGTAAACATTGCTACAATCAAAGACGCGCTGAACAGAAAGTCAATTCTGGGCTAGTACCATTGTCAAATTCTGGGGAGTAGAGGACTATTTATGTAGGAGACGTTACAATAAGGAACTATTAAATTTGTTCGATTTTTCATATCAAAATCCTTTATTGGAACAGAGCATGTTCTATATTCACCAAAAAACAAAGTTGTTATGTTTCTAGATACACAACGGACTCGAAACAATAGAAACCGTCCGATCCGAGCGACCTGCGTTCTTGAAAATCGAGTCTTATCGCCCTTGCGTTTCCGAGCAAAAAAACGTTGAGGCCAAAAACGAAAATGTCCAAGGGGGCGAGGGACTGCATTTCAAAAACATATTTTATATATAGGGTATATAACTAGTAGTAGATACAAATCAGGCCTGGATAAGAATGTACGTCTATGTCTGTTTTAAATGTTGTAAAATTAGGAATATTTTGTACGTCTCACGACCTTTTCTTGAGCCCCATAATCAACTCAGAGTATCAAGATAATTATTCGACCCACGATCGAGGTACAATGTTTCAGCACCAGAGCGATCGCGAAGTGTACGTTATGACACTGCGTTGACAAGCCCTTCAGTTTGACAGCTCCAGTTTGTACCCGAACAGTTTTTGATTAGTCGAAAACGACCAGTTGTTGTGCACTACTATTATTTAACAGAAAGTATGGGATGCCGAATTGTTACGATCACCGAGTTTCAAAAATGTTCACATATTTTAGAAACTATACCCACGCCATGTCATATTTGGGCGTGGTTTTAAAAAGTGGGCGTGGTTTTGCAGAAGTGGGAGTAGACATTTATATAACTTGATGTTTTCATCACTCGAACAATTCAGCATCTCTGTAAAATACAGGATTACATTTAACTATAGCAAATAAATAAAGTACTCATTCGGTTTGGGTTTGGAGATCCTGCTGTTGCAGAGTATGGTGATACTTCGCACATAGTCTCCCGACATAGATAACTCTATTACACTATTATTACACAAAACAGTATTTACGTACTCATGTCGACAACATATAATGCAATTGTTTATATATAAAATAACAGTCGTTGGAAAGTTTTGCAAACAGGATCAGTCAGAATTTAAGATCATTGCATTCCACATTCAAATACACAATTTGGACTTTTAATGTCGGCCACGTCGAGGCTTGACTTTCGAACGACGTTTAGGTTTTATCAGGCGTCCCGTGTGCAATCTTCGACCTTTATTAGATTTTTTTCGTTGCTTAGACTTTTGCTCAGGATCCATCATAGCTGGTTTGAGATGGGTAGGCTGAGTAGTAGTAGTAGTAATCGGTGCTTCCTTTGCCTCTGTCAATACATATATACAAAAAAGTGTTATTTCATTTTGATGTAACGGGGGGGGGGGGTCGTCACTGGACTGGCCCAGTCATGGCAATTTAATTCCTCGATAAACGACGAATCTCCCGCATTGTCGCGAAATTTCGCATCGAAGCAGGAATTAGGAAAGGAGTAGGAAATTGACATGGCTGGGCCATTCTAGGTTGTCACCTGCGCACGCGCGATAATAGAGCCTGAAAGACGGTAACAACGGTTGGCTGGTTCCTGCCTCAAGTGTCATGGCGTACCAAGCCACAAGAGGCCGGTAATTGGTAACGAATCCGGCATTCCGATTGGTCCATCACTTTCTCTTTGCTTGTTCTATTTCCCTTGGTTACCTGACGTCAGCGCTTACGCTCGTGGCCGTTCAGGGGTTTCCTTTTACTTTCGAAATAATAAAAAAAAATAAAAAACTTTTGTTATAAATTTGCACAGAAACAACGAGGAATGTCAGAAACATCTCAAATATGTATGTAACTCTAAGCAGGCAGAATATATGAGCATGGCTTTATTGTAGTATTTACAGACACGTTTACGCAGAGCGGAACTTGGAATGTTTTCAAATTACGTCACTTAGTCACGTGCCTTCCGGCCGGAAAACCGGCCCAAATGGAACAATATGGCGATTACTAGTTACCTGCGTCCTACCTGCCATTCGCAAAGGACGCCGGGAACCAGCGAAGTAACAACGGACGCTACAATGCAAAGGCTCATGGGTAGACCGTGACGCTTGTTTGTAAAAAATGACACGCTAAGGCATATGCCATATGCGCATACCACGACTCTCCTGCTTTAGAATAAAAAAATAAGTAGTTTTGCAAGTTCAAAAATCTAGAATGAAATAAAATACTGAAAGTTCGTAACATTTCTGCTTATAGGTGATTTTCCGTTCAACTGCGAGATTTTGCGAGTTGCATGAAAGACGCGCGCCGAACGTCTACCGCAAAATCAAACGATTTGACTTTGAATTCGAATTTCTTCATTTCGTAGCTCACAAGGGAATGTTGGATTTGAATACCCTTTCTTTCATCGAAATTGACCATCATCAAACGCGTACAGCACATTATTAGAGTATGGAAATATCCCCCGAAATACGTTCGCGTTTGTCGAATCCCACGCAATGTTTGTCGCCACTACGACCTATGAACTTTGTTTGTCCTGTTTTTACATTCTATTTTTCACGCATAGCGCGGGAACTCGCAGTGAAAGGAAAATATATTAAATTGGTATTTTGTTCTACGCCAGCTAAGAGTACTAACCTCGTATTGGGACTACTCCACATTTTTTAATACAAGCTTGTCTCCTTTTGTATTGATTGTTATTACCGCCACATCCACGATATCTAAATCGTACACAGTCATTTTCATTCTTAGACCATCCATAGACATAACGTTGATGGGCATGGCATTGATAACCACGATCCACGGAAGGTCCACACTTTTGAGGGCGATTTCTGTCTATCGTGATTAAAGAGAAATGAGAAATACAGTAGTGATTAGTATACAATCAGAGAGGAGGCAGATGCACGTATAAAGAATCGAATCACATGGCATTTCATTATTCACTCAAATTGAATGTAAATATAAGTTGGTTGGAAGTGTTGTGCAGCCAGTTGAAGGGGGTAAGGGGGATAGCTGGTTACAGGTTACAGGAAAAAAAATGCATTTTACGTTTTTTTACAGTAAAAAATAGGTTTTTACACTTTACAGATAAAGCAAATTCACTTTATATTTTTATAATATACTTGATAGTTTATGCTTAAGAATCAAAATTGGAAAATGCGTACGAATTACGACATTTAATGTGGGAAAATGCTTTATATACGGTGGCTTGTTAGGGCCATTTACCGTGACTGCTTTTTCCAATTTCTCACATTTTCACCTGTATTTTTCGGCTCTATTTCGAATTTCCGACACCAACACAAGTGGTATTAGACCCTCTACGATCACTTGTGACAAAATCATCACTACTACCTACACCACAGCCCCACTGCTATCACCAGTAACAACATCCTTATTACACCCAAGAAAAGTGGCATTGAGCCCACTACCATCGTTACCACTGTCACCTACACCAGACCTGATGCCACTACATGTAGGCCTACCAATATCATCGCTACAACCCGCACCACAGGCATCAGACTTACTGCTATCACCAGTAACACGGTCTTCATTGCCACCAACAAAAGTGGCACCAGTCCCACTACTGTCATCATCACTACCACCTACACTACAGACATCAGACCCACTGCTATCACTAGTACCAACATCCTCATTGCCAAAAACAAAAGTAGCACCAGGCCCACTACCGACATCATCAGGATAAAGAATAACATTTTCATCTTCTCTACGTGTACTGCCGTCTTACAAATTACTTTCAAACTGTTCTCCTCATATAAATTTAACATTTGAGTTTTTGCTGCAACATGAAAAACTCCTTTTTCTAAAAATTCCGTTTTGTCATTCTAAAGTTAATTGCAGCAATAGGAAGCTCATAGATCTAGTATTTTTACATTTTATTGATATCAGCAGGGAAACACTTCTGCACTATATCATAGGACGTTAACATTTGCAGGAGTCACATAACCCCATGTGAAAATCTGTCCTTTTTTTTCGTTTTTAGCCTTTCTTCTGTATCATTTTTTACTCCTCTCACTAATTTTTCATTTTTACGAAAGTGGTATCCTCTTTTACAAAGCACCGACAATAATAAATAGTCATTCCCTTATACTCTAACGACTTACATAAATAAGATCTTTGTACACATGACGGATGAATAAAATAGCCGATTACATTTTACAACTTATCTATGTCTTCGAATTTACGTTTTTTTTTTTTTTGCATTATTACAAAAAACAAAACAATTGATTACAGCTCGCGAAAATACCCCTTGCCGATCCTCTTGAAAAGTGAAGGCAAAACGTTGAGGGCAAAACGTTGAGGGCGTGTTTGGGGTCAAAACTTGTCTTGGCGATACGATCACTTTCCCGGATTACGTTCGTGTAAACTTCTTCCTCGGGGAACCCTTTCGTTGCGCTTTACGCAATAGTACCTCTGCCACAGGCAGCCTTCAATTTTGTGGTCAATCACTTCACTACAAATGAGTTCTATGCAAAGCTGCTTTGTGCAGTGATAAGAAACGCGCATCGAACTGAACTCCAAGGAAAATAGAACGCGGAATGAGAACGTCGTCGACCAATCAGAATGTCGAAACCATCACTAGTTACCGACCTCTAGGTGACACTTGAGACGAGAACCGGTCAAGTCGTCGGGCACCCGAGTAGTGCAGCGGTAAGAGACTGGGACCACTACTGGAATCTGATTGTTTTTTAACTTTTCTTACCAACAGACGTTTTTTTCCTGAATTTGTGTGCATTTTTTCTTATATTTTTTTAATTATTTCTGGAAATAAACCTTAATGTTGGAGCCAACAGGCAAAATTTGAGTCAATTTTCTGTTTCTACTAAAAAAAATGGCTATTTTTGTCCCAATCTTCAGAAGGAAAGTGTAGACTGAAACTGTGAAGAGGACTAATTTGTGAATTTGTAATGAAAAGAGGGAACTTGTGGTGAAAAGGTTGATGGTCATCCCCAATGCCACTGACTACGGCGATTAACTAAGGCGTGAGCTGGTCAGATGTAACTTACTGTAGCTGGCTGCGGCCATTCCCACCACCATTATCAACAATAAGACGCATACTGAAAGACGATTCATTTCAGCCCAAAATCTGAAATATGACTAGAAACATTAAAAAAATGGTAAGTTTGTGGATTCCTCTGTTCTGATCTGTTTAATAAATACATACTTTTGACGTAATGACCACATCATAGATAAACATTTCTAAAAATCAAAACCATAGTACTTGGGAATTTAGTGGAACTCGAGAAAAAGTGTGTCAATACTTTGTTTAATGTAAGTAAATAATCAGTGTTCAATGATTCATTATAGTGGGATAATGGGCCCGTGCAATGTCACGCGCAGCTTCTTTTGGGGTCGTTAAGATTAGTAAACCTGGAAAATTAGGAACAAGAGAACGGATAAATGGCCAAAATATCAAGTTAAAGTTCATATTACCATGCAATGCCTCCGTGAATTCAATTTTGTACACGCATCAGTTGTTCTGGATATGTGTTTATATTTTAGATCCAATATTTGAGAATTACGTTCCAAAAATAATATATTATACCTAAATTAAATTTTGCACGTCGTATCAGTCAAACCGAAACGTTTGTTAATTGTTCAAGCTGTAAACCATTAAATTCTCAACGCTAGCAGTCTTTGCGAAAATCGCGAGGACCCAATTTCCCGGACGTGAAATGTTCGTTTTACAAGAGTTCAAGTTCGCGACCACTCCCCGACCCGCGTACTAGTATTAGATTTGTGAAAATTTAAGTTGACAAACATCTGTTCAGTTTAGTCGACAGTATTTCTATACACTTACCTATTGCGGATGTTAATCCTACACTGGGTTGGAAAGTGAGAAGACCAGTGGTAAGTATTTCCGTTATAGAACTCTAACAGAAATAGAACGCCTTCGAGTGCGTTCGCGTCGCTCCCTCGGGGTGCCCCGAGTGACGTGGCAGTAGTGACCCGTGGCAACGAAAGGGTTCCCCGAGGAAGAAGTTTACATTTACGTAATCTGGGGAAGTAGTATCACGTGATCGTATTGGTCTGTTGCTATGCGAGCGAAACTCGTGTAAAATGTATAAAATTTATTTTAAAATCACGCCCAGTTGCATTTATGTTTGAGAAAATCTCCTAAGCACATTTTTACCTATAGATTTCGTCGTTCGCTATCTTTTTTCTCAAATTTACCCGGCTCTGCAAGCAGGGGCGGTAAAAACTGCCCCGAGTCGCCCCAGTTGTGACGTCACCTAGCAGTCGAACGAAAACTGGGCAGACGCGAGGCACCCCGGGTCACCCCGAGGCGACGACGTGAACGCACTCCAAAACGGGGCGCGGTGGAAGAGCGCGAGCGCCCAGCCTTTCGAACCTGTCTGAAATAGGTGATTTTCCGAACAATTGCGAGATCTCGCGAGATGCATGAAAGACGCGCGTCGAACGTCTGCCGCAAAATCGAACGATTTGATTTTGAACTCGAATTTCCTTATTTCGTAGCTCACACCGACCGGCCGATCTTCGACAGAGGAATATTGCTTCCGAATACCCTTACTTAATCGAAATTGTCTATCATCAAATGTGGACAGCACATTATTAAGCATGGAAATGTCCCCAAAATACTTTCGCGTTTGTCGAATCCTACGCGATGTTTGACGCGACTACGACGCTATGACCTTTGTTTGTCCTGTTTTTACGTTCGATTTCACGCATAACGCGTGGTTATCGCAGTGTACGGAAAATGGTCTATTCATGTGTTCTGCGGCACTATTCTCGGGGCGGGCCCACGTCAGAGAACGTTCTATGTTGCTGTTTCACCGCGATGAAATAAAAGCCGAAAACTTTCAGAAAACGGTACTTTGGGTTGGTTGTTGAGAATCCCCTGAACAGTGTAACAAGATTACCACTACATGTCTAACATATATAAAAAAAAATTGTCCAGGATTCAACGACTTCAAAGTTGATTTTGTGCTGTTTTCTCGATTTTAGCTATTTTCACCGCCTCTTCGACCGGCGTTCTACACCAGCTCGCGCTGAGCCCACGGTACAATGGTGCGCGTCTTAGCAACGTGAATTAAATAATGACACATGCTT